GCCTCCTGTCAGCCGCGGCCCGCCGGGACCTGGTGCTTGTGTCCCGGCGTGAGCCGCCGCTAGTGCGCATGCGCCGGGGACGGAGCCGCGGCGGTCCCTGACACTAACCTCCACCTCTAACCTCCACCTCTATGACTAAGCCCAATAGGGTGAAATGTGGTGAGGAACGGCCTTAGGTGGGGACCCCAGGTAAACTTCCTCACCTACACCTCCTCCCTCCACGCCGCCAGAGCAGGCCTACTTCGTTGACCTGATTAACACCCTCTCCACCTGTCCTCGCCGACTCTTCTCCACATTCAACTCCCTGCTCTCTCCCCCCCCTCCTCCACTCAGTACCTCACTTACCGCCCACGAGATTGCCACTCATCTCCACAACAAGATTGACGCAATCCGCAAGGACATAGTCAACTTGCAATCTACCTCCCCATCTAGCCTCCCCCCTTCCACCACCCCCCTCATCTCTCCCCTCCTCTGACCTCGCAATGGCACTGCCCCCCACCACACCCAAGGCCCTGCCTACCGTACCCCCCCATCACTGCACTCCTTCAGCCCTACTACCACTGAGGAAGTCAGCAGAGTCTTCTCAGAAGCCCGCCTCACTACCTGCCCCCTGGACCCTATCCCCTCTCAACTCCTCCGGTCACCCCCCTCTTCCCTCATCTGCTCCCTTACCCACATCTTTAATCTCTCCCTCTCTACTGGCGTCTTCCCCTCCCCCCTAAAACATGCACACATCACCCCCATACTCAAAAAGCCCTCCCAGGACCCCACTGACCTCAACAACCTCAGACCAATTTCCCTGCTGCCACTCACTTCCAAGCTCCTTTGAGCGCTTGGTCTTCGATCGCCTAAGCGCCCACCTGACTGACAGCAACCTCCTTGACCCACTACAGTCTGGCTTCCGTCCCCTATACTCCACCGAAACTGCCCCTCCTCAAAATCACCAACGATCTACTAACCGCCAAAGCCAAAGGCGACTACTCTGTCCTCCTCCTCCTAGACCTCTCCGTGGCCTTTGACACAGTCGACCACCCCCTCCTCCTTAATAAACTACTCTCCCTTGGCATCAGAGACACCGCTCTCTCCTGGTTCTCGTCCTATCTATATCCCAACGCTCCTTTAGCGTTTCCTACAACGGTGCCACCTCCTCCTCACTCCCCCTCTCTGTTGGGGTCCCCCAGGGCTCTGTCCTTTGACCCCTTCTCTTCTCCATCTACACCACCTCCTCCCTTGGCAAACTCATACACTCCCACGGCTTCAATTACCACCTCTATGCTGATGATACTCAAATCTACCTATCCACCCCTCACCTCACCCCCACATTCTCCGCCCGCATCACTCACCTCCTAAACGACATCTCTGACTGGATGTCGCTCCATTTCCCTCAAACTCAACCTCTCCAAAACCGAGCTTCTCATCTTCCCCCCCCCCGCGCCCGCCCCCCCCCCCCCCATCCTTTCCATCACTACCAACAACACCACCATCAATCCCGCCCAGCAAGCCAAGGTCCTTGGCGTCATTCTGGACTCAAACCTTTCCTTTCAACCTCATATCAAATCTCTCACAAACACATGCAGGCTCCACCTCCGGAACATCTCCAAGATACGCTCCTTCCTTACCCCAGACACCACTAAACTACTAGTACACTCCCTGATTATCTCACGCCTGGACTACTGCAACTCCCTCCTCACCGGCCTACCCCAGTGCAGGCTCTCCCCCGCTTCAGACCATCCTGAACTCAGCGGCCAGACTCACCCACCTCACCAGCCGCTCCACCTCTGCCACCCCCCTCTGCCTCTCCCTCCACTGGCTCCCCATTGCCCAACGCATTAAATTCAAATTGCTCACCCTGACCTATAAGGCCATTCACAACACTGCCCCTAACTACCTCACCGACCTGATTCCCAGGTACCACCCTACCCGTACCCTTCGCTCTTCACAGGACCTCCTTCTATCTTGCTCCCTGGTCTCCTCCTCCCACGCACGACTGCAAGACTTCTCCAGGTCCTCCCCCCATCCTCTGGAACTCACTACCCCAATCCATCAGACTGTCACCTTCCCCTCCTCACCTTCAGGCGCTCCCTGAAAACCCACCTCTTCAGGGAAGCCTACCCCACCCTCACCTAACAGCCGCTGCCCTTCCCTCCTCCTACCACTCCATCCCCCACAGCCGTTTCCTCCTGTGCCTCTACCCCCTCCCTCCCTCCTAGATTGTAAGCTCGAAAGAGTAGGGCCCTCTTACCCCTTGTGTACTGTTTGATGTTACTGTTCTGTTTCATGTATTGTCCCCCCCTCTATTGTACAGCGCTGAGCAAACCCTTTGGCGCTATATAAACTCGATAAATAAATAATAAATAAATAAAACTGGTTGGTGGAATAAATATTAGTGGAGTAACATTATCAGTGTGCTGCCTTTTTTGGGATGATCTTTGTAATCTGTATTACAAACCCTTATAACAAGAAGAAAGTCCCCTGCGCTCAAGAGTTGTGCAATGATGATAAAAGGAACATCAGGTCCTTAGCATATCCAACATCCAGCATATCCAACCCTCTAAGGTTTGGCGGAACCCAAGTGAGTCACTGTAAAACAAGGAAAGAGAAGGCGCCCCAGGCTAGAGAAGTAACTGTTATTAAATCCAAAGTAGATATATACTCACAAACAACTGTAGTATCACAAGCATATCCATGCCCAAGCGACCAAAACACCAGGTGAGCTCCCAAATACGAAAGGACCCTCGAATGGCTGACGCCCCTTGAAATTTGTCAGCCATTGCAGGGTCCTCTCACATTTGGGAGCTGACCTGGTGTTTTGGTCGCTTGGGCATGAATATGCTTGTGATACTACTGTTGTTTGTGAGTATATATCTACTTTGGATTTAATAAAAGTTACTTCTCAGGTAATGCACTAGACTGGTGCGCTCTCTTTTTCCTTGTTTTCCAAACCCTTGTAGTACTACTTACATACTTATGTACAAAGCCATGGGAGCAGATCCCATTACTATTATTATTATACAGGATTTATATAGCACCAACAGTTTGCTCAGCGCTTTACAATGTAACGGGAGACAATACAGTTCTATACAAGAGGGATAGGAGGGCCCTGCTCCTTGGAGCTTACAATCTAGGATACAATCTATTTTATATAAATCAAAAGTATTAATAATTATTAATAGTTATTAAATAATCATTATCCACTGACTAGAATGTCCATAGTATGAATCTCCTGCATACAGACAGGCCTGAAAATCCTACTTTTTTGCCAAAAAAATTCAATGAATGGTCTTTATTGATCAATTTCCTAAAATCATTAGCATTGACTTAAACCTGAATTTCAGGTATGATCTTAATTGTATGCTTACATTGGTCCAAACTTGGACTAATATATGTAGGCATATCTCATATCCACAGGACTGCTTTGGAAGTGAACAATTACTGTAGTAGCTGCACCGACTAGTAGAGTGATTGTCAGTTTCCACAGGGGTTCCTACAGTGATGCGTTAAGTATGCAACTAAGATCATACATGGAGTTCAGCTTTGAAGCCAGTAGACAGCCTTGGAGAAGGCACCATAATGTGCCTGCCATTAGCTTACTATCCAGAAAAGCCTCTTCTCTACTCCACTCTGATCCTAGTTTTACTTTAGTTCTAAAAGCCTGAATTATCTAACTTTAAAGCAAAGTTCTGTGCCCACAGCTAGGGTCCATTCATTTACCATCCCCCTGGGAGATGCTTAGAGCTGAAGCCTGGAAACTTATGCCACCAGTAAAAGTCAAATGGAGATCAGAGGGATGAACAAAAAAGGTTTGAGATGCCAGATCCTTTTAAAGCCCTATTAGAGCCCAACTGAAACCTCAGGACTCACTCTCTATGCCCCCCTTCCAGGGGTCCCCAGTTTGTATTTTCTGCTTCTTGTTCAATGGTGGGTAGCCCTTGATAAGGAAAAGAGCTGACATGATGATGTTGGCTCCTTTTTCTGTATTGTTTTACTGTGATTACAGAGAGAAGATCCACGATGGCCTGCATTCACAGCATGTCCCCTTCTGAAGGACAATGTTCAACCTGAACTACTTTTTTGCCAAAAAAATTCAATGAATGGTCTTTATTGATCAATTTCCTAAAATCATTAGCATTGACTTAAACCTGAATTTCAGGTATGATCTTAATTGTATGCTTACATTGGTCCAACTTGGACTAATATATGTAGGCATATCTCATATCCACAGGACTGCTTTGGAAGTGAACAATTACTGTAGTAGCTGCACCGACTAGTAGAGTGATTGTCAGTTTCCACAGGGGTTCCTACAGTGATGCGTTAAGTATGCAACTAAGATCATACATGGAGTTCAGCTTTGAAGCCAGTAGACAGCCTTGGAGAAGGCACCATAATGTGCCTGCCATTAGCTTACTATCCAGAAAAGCCTCTTCTCTACTCCACTCTGATCCTAGTTTTACTTTAGTTCTAAAAGCCTGAATTATCTAACTTTAAAGCAAAGTTCTGTGCCCACAGCTAGGGTCCATTCATTTACCATCCCCCTGGGAGATGCTTAGAGCTGAAGCCTGGAAACTTATGCCACCAGTAAAAGTCAAATGGAGATCAGAGGGATGAACAAAAAAGGTTTGAGATGCCAGATCCTTTAAAGCCCTATTAGAGCCCAACTGAAACCTCAGGACTCACTCTCTATGCCCCCCTTCCAGGGGTCCCCAGTTTGTATTTTCTGCTTCTTGTTCAATGGTGGGTAGCCCTTGATAAGGAAAAGAGCTGACATGATGATGTTGGCTCCTTTTTCTGTATTGTTTTACTGTGATTACAGAGAGAAGATCCACGATGGCCTGCATTCACAGCATGTCCCCTTCTGAAGGACAATGTTCAACCTGGAGGATGACATATTGTGGCGAAATAGATTTATTTCAGGAGACAGCGCAAGATTGTTCACTCAACCAGATTTCATAAGTTTGCAGCCATTGCAATCTGTAAACAAACACTCTTCTGCAATGTTCTAGGGATTGTCATGAGTAATGGAGAAAGGTGGAAGACAATGAGACGCTTCGCTCTAATGACCTTGAGAAATTTTGGAATGGGGAAGAGAAGTATTGAGGAGAGAGGATTCAGGAAGAGGCTCAGAACCTGAAAGAGCAATTCATGAAAGAAAAAGGTAGGTGACAGAGATGAGGTCAGTTTGCAATTATTCTCAGATATACTTCCTCAGATCCATAGTAGAAAATAAAAGAAAATATATTTGTTTACTTTTCTTTCCTTGTACCTTAAACTGTACCTGTAGCAGAGTGCCCATTTCCCACAACTCTCTGGCTTCCTGGATATGCCAAGGGAGTATCAATTTATCACCTTCCATCCCTCAACAGCTCAGATGGGCCACATCTGATAAGATATATGAGGTAGCTGGGTAAATGATATGCAGTCAGGGGAGAGGCCTTCTGCAGTCAGAAATGGTGTGCCAGAAATTAATAACACACAGTTTTCTCTTGAAGACCCACTACTCTGGAAAGCCTCTTCCCGATAGCTACCAAAGTACTCCAGTTCCAGTGTGGTGGCCCTTTGTTCTTGGCTTACTCCAGTTGTTCACGTGTGTGTTACCAGAGTTATCTGGACTTGATTATGAAGATAATCACAAGTATCTGATTTCTGTACTATTTTACTGAAGTGTTGACTATCAGCTTGTCTCTTTGATGTAAAAGAGTCTTATAGAGACTATGCTATGCAGTCACGTTAACCTGATTGATTCTTAGAGGAATGACTTGTGAAAAATCCCTATTTGTACAGTTTTCATTATTCTGCAGTATGTGCATGTTTTTTCCCACCCTGAACTTGTTTTTCATTATCGCTTCTAACTTTGCACCTGTTTGGTAAATTGCAATTTACAGTTACTCTCTATCTGATCATTTGGCAAATTACCAATTCTTTTATATACATTTTGTGAATGTTGTATGAGATTACTTCTTTCTCTACATGATACAGATTTGCCTTGTTGCTAGATGTAAACTAGAAACACTAGACAGATCCTCTTGCTGTCTGGTAGATCTGAGTGCTCAGCAACTTTGTACAGTATTGCGCACTCTTGTTTTCATCTTCTTAAACTCAAGCCTATATGGTGGTGTATCCATTTATAGAGTGACTAGCTTTTTAACTTTCACAACAGACGCTAACCGTTTGACCCAACACCTGCTGGGATTAGCTGTCTCCAATGTCATCTGCTCTGTTGTGTTCGGAAAGAGATTTGACTATGAGGACAAGAAGTTTATGACCCTTCTGAATATATCAGAGAGATCTTCAGGAGTATGAACTCTAGATCTGGTCAGGTGAATATATAGAGGCAAATCAGGAATAAATTCTTGGACAGCTGCAATGTGTTTGCCATTGAAGTGTGTTTTATGAACCCATGATAGCTTTTTTAATGTCTGAAGTTACTTAGAAAAATGAAATAATTGTCACCTGATGCATTTTATTTTCGTCTATCTTCACATTTATGGCTAACAGCAGAAATTGCTGGGTAACCATTGTTGGAGTAAGTAGCAACTGTCTGCTTGATTTTTTTTTTTTTGATGAACTGCAGATGCAACACAATATCCAAGGCACAGTGAGTACCAACCTTTTTGTATTTTAGAGACTTTCCTTTGCTTTACTCAGGAGAGCTTTCACAGTACATCCAGGATTTTTACTCCTGCTGCTTAGAATCAGTTTTATTCTTCATTTTAATGAGGGTTGGTTTTACCCTGAAAGAGCAGATTAGAGTTCTCAGCTACAGTTTGTTAGACGTTTCTTGGAGTATTCCAAGGCTCACTCTCAATCTTATTAGAAAAAACAAAAATTAGAAAGCTAATTTTGGACTCTAGACCAAACCTACATAGAGCTGGGTCACTGTGAGTACTATATGTAAACCTAGACCAATTCACTATAAACGTCAACCTTTAATATACACATATATCACATAGACAAATCTAAAGTTATACATAATCCCCATATCGCTTTGTTTATACCGTACAGGTACTACTAAATAAACATATTCATTTTTTTACATACAGAGGCAGATTCCAAATATTTAAATATTGGTTACAGATGAAAGAAGCACATATAAGATTCTGTTCCCTGGCAGTTAGAATATACACTTTGATGTGCATTACTTATGATTAGAGATGAGCGAATTGAACAGGCGAACCGGAATTCGATACGAATTTCAGGAAAAATTTGATTCAGAATAATTCCAAGACGGCAAAAAGTGTATCTGCAGAGCTCCTCTAAGTGTATCTGCAGAATAGAGGAGCTATGCAGATACACTTTTTGCCGGCTTGGAATTATTCTTATTTTCATCTACTTCTTCTTCTTCTTCTCTTCTTCCTCATCCTCATCCTCTTCTTCTTCTTCTGAGGATGAGGATGAGGATGAAGAAGAAGAAGAAGAAAGTAGGATGAAAATAAGAATAATTCCAAGCCGGCAAAAAGTGTATCTGCAGAGCTCCTCTATTCTGCAGATACACTTAGAGGAGCTCTGCAGATTTCTCAGGTTTCCTAGACGTTCTCATCCTGCCTCAATGCTTCCCCCTGATCCTTATCCTTTTGAAGAAGAGTCCTTCTTCTCATGAAAAGTAACTTCTTATCTGAAAATATCAAGACTTATTCCATGATTCGGCAAAAAGTTTATCTTTCTTTTTTTTCTCATTCTGCAGATAATTTCTCCTAGAGCTATCTTTTTTTTTATCCCACTTATAGGAGCTCTGCATTTACACTTTTTTACCGGCTTGTGAATTAATCTTATTTTCATCCTACTTCTTCTTCTTCTTTATTTTCTTCATCCTCTACTTTTGTTCTTTCATCCTGTTCAGAGTCAGAAGAGGTTGTCTTCTTTTTTTCTGAGAATTTCGAGATGAAGAAGAAGAAGAAGTAGATGAAAAATAAGAAATAATTCCAGAAAGCCGGCAAAAAGTGTTCTCTGCAGAGCATCTCTCTATTCTGCAATACACTTAGCTGTTCTGCTTGTCTTTGTCTTTAGTAAACTGCGACATACACTTTTTGCAGCGAGGCTTGGATTTTAGTGGGGGGGGGGGGGTTGGGGGGGGGTGTGTTGGAAGAGGGGGGGGGTGGGGGGTAGCGGTTCCGCTTCCACTTCCCCCCCTTCTACCCCTGCAGATATCTAAGTGTATCTGCAGAATGTCATTTATGGAAAAAAATAGATACAATGTTTCAACCGCTGTATGGAGTGAATGTCCCAGAACTGTCAGAAATAGACTATTTCTGACAGTTCTGGGACATTCCCTCCATACAGCGGTTGAAACCGCTGTATGGAGTGAATGTCACAGAACTGTCAGAAATAGACTATTTCTGACAGTTCTGTGACATTCACTCCATACAGCGGTTGAAACATTGTATCTATTGTTTCCATAAATGGATCCATTTATGGAAACAAATAGATACAATGTTTCAACCGCTGTATGGAGTGAATGTCCCAGAACTGTCAGAAATAGGCTATTTCTGACAGTTCTGGGACATTCACTCCATACAGCGGTTGAAACCGCTGTATGGAGTGAATGTCACAGAACTGTCAGAAATAGACAGAAACTGTCACAGAACTGTCCTTCTAATCATCCTTCTCCTTCTTCTCATCCTTCTTCTCATCCTTCTTCTCATCCTTCTCCTTCTTCTCATCCTTCTCCTTCTTCTCATCCTTCTCCTTCTTCTCATCCTTCTTCTCATCCTTCTCCTTCTTCTCATCCTTCTTCTCATCCTTCTCCTTCTTCTCATCCTTCTCCTTCTTCTCATCCTTCTCCTTCTTCTCATCCTTCTTCTCATCCTTCTCCTTCTTCTCATCCTTCTTCTCATCCTTCTCCTTCTTCTCATCCTTCTCCTTCTTCTCATCCTTCTCCTTCTTCTCATCCTTCTCCTTCTTCTCATCCTTCTCCTTCTTCTCATCCTTCTTCTCATCCTTCTCCTTCTTCTCATCCTTCTCCTTCTTCTCATCCTTCTCCTTCTTCTCATCCTTCTCCTTCTCCTTCTTCTCATCCTTCTCCTTCTCCATCTTCTCATCCTTCTCCTTCTTCTCATCCTTCTCCTTCTCCTTCTTCTCATCCTTCTCCTTCTCCTTCTTCTCATCCTTCTCCTTCTTCTCATCCTTCTCCTTCTTCTCATCCTTCTCCTTCTCCTTCTTCTCATCCTTCTCCTTCTCCTTCTTCTCATCCTTCTCCTTCTCCTTCCTCATCTCCAAGGGCATTTAAATTAAAGGTACAGTGTTCTGCACTAATTTAAAGGCTCTCTGAAGCCTAGAAACCCTTTTTATAAGTTATCTTCGTAGCGAATAAATTCGCATCGAATCGAATTTCTTCCTGAAATTCGCCGAATCAGCCGAATCGAATTTTTGAATACTTCGCTCATCTCTACTTATGATATTCCTCTGAAGAGGACTGTCATGGTCCACCCCCCCTACCCCCCTTGCCTGCTGTCCCTCCGCTCCCTCTCCCTTTGATCCACCCCTCCCTCCCTCCTTGCAGATTTCTCCTGTCCTGCACCAGCCTACATCAAAGGCTGTGCAGGACAGGAGGAAACGCCCCCTGTGGTGCGGGTAGCACCTCTCCTTGGCGAAGTCGCGGAGGAGTCGGTGAACCTCTCTATCCTCCCTGCCTGGACTGTCCATGAATCCCCCTATTTGCCCTGCCTGGACTGTCTGTGAACCTCCCTATTTTCCCTGCCTGGACTGTCCATGAATCCCCCTATTTGCCCTGTCTGGAATATCTGGAAACCTCCCTATTTTCCCTGCCTGGACTGTCTGTGAACCTCCCTATTTTCCCTGCCTGGACTGTCCATGAATCCCCCTATTTGCCCTGCCTGGAATGTCTGTAAACCTCCCTATTTTCCCTGCCTGGACTATCTGTGAATCTCCATTACCCTGCCTGGATTAATACTTGTTTGGGCCATTGCTACCCAAATCGCCCTACCATGGGCCGGATTACAATTGTTTTGGGCCCCGCCCCTCTTTTCCCCTTTTTTTGGGTACCCGGACGCTACCTTCCTACCCTGATTGAGTGTCTCCCATATTTCAATAAAACTTTGTGTGTTTATCATCCTCCGAGTGTGTTCTGTCCTGCCTACTCTTCCGTCACAAGGACATTTTGCACTTTAATATTTATTTATATGTGAAGAAATATAGTTTTTCGGGTGTGCTATATGGAACTGTTATGGAGATTTATATATGTGTTTCTTTCACCTATAGCTAATATTTAAATATTTGGAATCCACCTTTGTATGTACAAAAATGAATATGTTTATTTAGTAGTACCTGTACGGTATAAACAAAGCGACATGGGGATTATGTATGAATATAGATTTGTCTACATGATATGTGTATAATAAAGACTGGCTTTTATGGTGCATTGGTCTAGGTTTACATATCGTACTTACAGGGACCCAGCTCTATGTAGGTTTGGTCTAGAGTCCAAAATTAGCTTTCTATTTTTTATTTTCTAATGGATATTTTACTAGAGACTCCCAAGCCATTTTTTGATATGTTATGAGATCCCATGCTCTGGTGGAGCTGAGTGATTTTGGGACCTGGAGGAAATTTTATGATTTTTTCACCATCAATCTATCCCAGTTTTTCAGCAAAATAACTTGACTCAAGTGACTGTGAACTGTGTGCCTTGCTCCTGTGTACTTATTGGGAGAAGAATCTGTGGCCAATCAGACCAGTCCCAGGTCTGCGCTACATGTGGGGGCTCAGTCCTGAATTCCCGCCTAGCACAGGCAGCTGTTGCTAAGGGAAATTGAAAAGGAAGTTTGTGTAAAGAGAATGCAGCCAGTGACGTGCAACTTCACAGTGCGTGAGCTAAAGGAGGGCATTGGCCTTTATTCAGGAACTGTTTGCAGTGGAGATGGTGAGATGTTGAAGACGAGTTGCGTTTGGAAGAGGAAGGGTTAAGTGGTGTTAATGCGCCAGGAGGCGGAGGCCGGAAGAGTGGAGCTGGTGCCAAAGGGCAGACTAGCTCTCAGCTCCATCTGGGGGGCCAAACATGCTTGTGTAGTCTGCACTGTGTGAGAATGGCTGACAGCGGGAATCCCATTCTGGAGTCCATGTGAGGAGCTGCTGTTTCAGCTGATGCCAAATAATCTACCATCCACAGTTTACCAGGTGGACTGGGACACAGGTTTCTGCATCATGGATACCAAACCAGAGAGACTGGGACTGCAAGTAAGTAAGGCTACTAACAGTGTGTCTCCTGTGAGGCAGACAGAGACAGAGTGTATATACGTAGTGCAGCACACTATGGTGTGTATGGTGCAGGAATCTGTAATGAACCTTTTTACCTTGGATTAAC